TGAGGTATTGTTTCTTACAAAGTGAGGTAAGAGTTTCTCATGATCATGTATGTGAGTAAAAGGGGGTTTCAGAGTTGAGGTAATGCTTTTTAGTCTGTATAAAAGTCATACAAAATAAAGCTTGTGATGCAGTTGTTCATACTCTGCATCCCCTGTGTCCTGATGTGCGCGAGACCCTTACCCAGGGACCCCAAAGCACTAGATGTTGACACCTACTTCCTTCCTTCCTTCCTTCCTTCCTTCCTTCCTTCCTTCCTTCCTTCCTTCCTCCCTCCTTCCTTCTCTCTCTCTCCCTCCCTCCCTCCCTCCCTCCCTCCCTCCCTCCCTCCCTCCCTTTCTTTCTTTCTTTCTTTCTTTCTTTCTTTCTTTCTTCCTTATTCTTTGAAAACCTTCACACTAAACTAATCTTTATTCCACCAAACCCAAATCTATCTCTCTCTCTCTTTCTTTCTTTCTTTCTTTCTTTCTTTCTTTCTTTCTTTTATTCCTTCTTTTTCCTTTTTCTTCTTTATAACGAGCTCATGTAGCCGAGAATATCATTGAACTCACTATGACCCGCTGATGACACTGAGTTCTTTGTCCTCCTGCATCTATTTCCCAAGCACTAGGGCCACAGTTGTGAGGCTCCATACTTGGATAAAGTCCTCTTGTTTATATTTTGGTTTTGGATCCTGTGTTTCATGCTCTCCAAGACAATTCAGTATTGTGGTTTTCAAATTTTTCACATTTTTCCAACAGAGAAAACACATACACTGTGGGGCACAGAACTGACGGACAGTTCTTTGGCAGAAAGTTTGCAGGTGAAGCTGGAGTTCTTTCACTTCTACAGATGACACACAGTGGCCTTTGGAATCAGATTTGCTTCAGTCTCTTTTATCAGCCCTACTTCTAACTAAGGGGCTTTTAGAAGTCCCTACGTATCATGGTAACCTAATATCAGTGGCCAGTCTGGCTGTAAGATACACACTAAAATCACACACTGTGCTTTTGAATATGAAGTCTTATCTAGTTCTTTGTTGATCAACAAGCGATGAGAAGGAAATAATAACCATTTAATTCTTGTTATGCACTGTGAGGGTCACAGCCATTATTTCCCTTGAATTATCACAGTTTCCTTACATATATGGTCCTGTTACTATCTATGTTGTTACATGCAAATCCAGACTTAAGAACTCTAAGTGGTTTCTAGGGAATTCAAAGCAGTTTCTAGGATTCAAGAAACACAGGGTGTACATTTGGTTTCATTCACAGGATATAAGTGACATCATCATGATTTCATTATTTCTTATTTTTCCTATTTATTTCTGTTCTAAATTTCAATTTCTTTTGGACTTTAGCTCCACATTGACCTTTTACAAGATTTCTGGGGGTTAAGAGAACTGGGGGCATGTGCCTGACCCTCTCTAACTTTAGTATTTATAACATACATTCTGAATTCATTACTGAGAGCTACTAGATACAATATATATATATATATATATATATATATATATATATATATATATATATA